ATTAATTTGTGTTTATAAATGTCTGACAATATTGTGATATAAACACAAAATTTATTATTTGGAATAATTGCTAAATGCATTAATAATACAACTATAAAATTATTACATTATTAAATTTATAGTTTCCGGCAATGTATTACAATATACATGATGAGAAACATTATGAATTCGCTGCTACGTGTTATCTTATTTTTTTCCAACCAAGATATCGAGAGGACAGGAAACCACGACTTACGAATTCTTCGCGGCGTGTGATATCTGCCTCCTATCTACTCTTCCACGCCGAGAAATGCCTACTTTCTTCTTTCAGATTTTCTTTTATTTCCTTGACAATTTAATCCACCTTGACAATTTAATCCGAGTACAAAATTCCTCCGACCCTCATAAAATCATAATATCGAAAAATTGTTCCTCATGTTTTGTTCATGTAAATTATGCGAACTTGCCGGTCGTAGAAAAAATGACGGCGATTGACATTACTAAAGGAACATCTTAATTTTAACTACAAATTGAAAGAAGACTAAGGTATGCATAATAATCCGTGAGTTTTGCATTATATACTTTCACCGGTTCCTAAAAGAAAGAAAAGCTTCTTCATAATAAATACGTTTAAATAAGAATAGATTGTGAAACGTTTTAAAGACAGAAACAACATTAAAATATATGATACGCTAAATGGTATTCAATATTAAGAACACAATTTTTTCTATTTTAAATTATGAGAGAGTCACTTATTTTTAATATTAGTTTCTCATAAAGTAGTGATACAGGTATCTGTATAAATTCTGTTTTATTCATAAGAAATCTTATTTTAGAAAGTTAAAACGCCGAATAAAACACACTCCAACGTCACTGACTACATCCATTAACGATCTAAGATTAGCGATCTGGAGGTAGAAATTATTACTGGAGTGGCTAAAAATTAATGACATACGATTCCAAATTCTACTTTGTATGACGCATTTGTAGTGTATCAATATACCATATCATATATCACATTTTAACTTGACACTTGTACTTCATAGATATTATTTAAAGAAAACTATAACACTATGATACAATTTAGAAAGTTAAATATTAATAGATTTTAAATAGAATTGAACAAAATTATTTAGATTTTATGATAAGAAATCTTATCATAAAAAGTTACAACGAATAAATTAAAATACTAACGTCACTGACTATATCTATTAATAATCTAAGATTAGCAGTTAATTATTTGATTTATTACATATCTTGTATTGGAACGCTTTATGCTCATTCATCAATATTTATTAAATTCGAATTTTATGGAAGAAGTATAATGTAAATACTTTTGAAGAAGAGAGATATCAGTTTCCATGAATAAAAAGGAAGCTTAAGTAGTTCATTTCACGATTATCAGTTATGATTTCGTTACACACATCGCACTGTTAGCGTTTCCACACATATTATATCATACATGACCCTGACTCGACTTTTCTACATTACGATCGAGTTACACATCGCTCGCACATGCAGTGACCGCTAAATTACATTCCTTGATTCTATGATTTAATAATGCATCGCTATGAAATCCAGCAGGTTTAATAAAATTTATGACAAAATTAAAAAATTAGATTTTAGCTAAGCTATTGTAAAATAATATTCTTATAATTCTCTATTGTGATTGATTTGTATATTTCATGTCAGTTATATTTTCAGTAATATTAATAGAAAAAAAATAAAATTACATCAATTTTTTTTCTTCTCTCATTTTTCCAATATATTTAATGAAATTTATCAAAAAAAATTATAGAAAAAAATACATGCACTAGCTATGCTCTCTCTTTCTCGAATATTAAAAGAATATTAATAACTGTATTAACGTATCACGTTCGTGAATGACAAATTAGAAATGTTAAGATAAATTTAACCATTAAATGTAGTTATTTTCTTTAGTTGTAGTTACTTTATTAATTTCGACTCGAAAGAACTCGCTAAATAATTTAATGATTCTTTTTTCATCGACCGTTTTGGCGGTAGTAGCTTTGAATTCGCAGCTAAAAAGATTTTAAGAAAAAAGATTTTAAGAAAAAGGTAAAAAATGCACTGACCTTGAGCAAGTTTCGAAAGTACGGACTGCACGCCGAAAGAACGATCTTATGTGCGGTAAAGCTGCAGCTGTCGCAGGCGAGCGTGACGTCGACAAAATCTTCCACATCTCTCAGCTGACGTACGGAACTGAGAATGCTCGATTGAAAGTCGTTCCATCTAAGAGAGTATTGCTGCTCTCCGCCAGTCGATGAGGACGAAGAAGCCGCCATGGCGTCCGTCCCCTTGAGAACGACCCGCGGTGCTATCGTGCTCACACTCGACGTGTTGCTCGTGCTCTATACTCTCGGACCACACTTCACCAGTCTTTCTTCGTTTACACTCACGTTTCCTATTCCTTGTCCGTTCTGTATATTCCTTGAAGGTCCTCGACTCAATCGCGCCCGAATTTAATCGCCAAGCTTAAGTATGTATGGCGAATAACCTGGTCGCAGCGTTCAACAATTGTTCGATGCTTCGAAAAAGTCGTCACGGATCGTCACAGATTCCTTTTTACGGTTTGTTCCTTCCAAAGGTATTGTTATCAGAAGTGAAAGCCAAGAAATGAAAGCTAAGCGCCCAATCCCAAATAAAAGTAGGTATAGGGGAAACTTCGCGTACACCACGTTGAAGAATCTCATAGTACTTGGCTCATGATAGGAGTGGCACCTGGAAGCGCACGGTAAAACGTCGGACTGAGATCACGAAATAATGTAGTGCTGCTACATGTACTTGGCGCGAGAGACGCTATTGCTTATTTTGATGGTTCGCAGTTGTCGTCCTCTATTGTTTCTTACAGTGAAGTAATCCGCTGTTAGCTACAAGAAAACAAATAGCGACTATGTTTCCACACAATGCAAAATAAATATAAATAGAATAGTCGGTATTTCTTTTGTTTTTTTATTATTGATTTAAGGCTGTGTCCCGATATATAGGCCGGTATTCATAGTCGAATTTTATATTTAAGACCGTTTTAAATGCAGTCTTAAGATATCATAAACCAATCTTAAGACGAAAAATAAGACTACTGTCCACTTGATGTTATCAATCAATATTTCGAAGCATTCGTAGCGTCAAATATACCTTATGAATACTATATAAATGCAATACTAAAAATTAAAAATCTATAATTTATGTTATGCAGGGCCGCCGCAAGCAGGTGTGCAAGTTGTGCATTGCACAAATGCATTAAAAAGAGAAGTTAAATTAAGTTTGAAGTTTTCCTCCATTTACATGTTTTTACTTTTTCCGTCTGCAATCCAGCTTTTTTGTCAAGCTCAATTTTTGTATCATTATAAACTTTCAGAAAATATGGAAAATTTCAGAGTTATTTTTCAACATTTTTTTCTTTTCAACAAGATTCCTATTAACAAGATATTTTAAGAGAGAAAATCGGACTCTGCCTTTCTTTATTTCAGAGAATTTATATAAAAATGAAATTACTTGTATCAAAAAAGACTCAGATTACAAAAAAAAAAAGGTTAAAATTAAAGCATCAGTTTCAGCATCAAGTTATCGATTATTTTTCTAGAGTGGATGTAAAAGTGAAAAATTTTTATATCAATTTCAATGTAGAAATTTTCACTTTTTACATTTCTATTTTAGGGAAAAAATCTTATATGATCAAATTGCGTCTTGTCTAAAAAAAACTTTAAAAAATTATTTAAAAATGTATCTTATTAAAAAAATTGAGAGTAAATAAAAATATTAAGAAGGTGCAAAATCTTCTTTGCCCAAAGGTGCTTTCTATGCTAGTGGTGACATTACGTATGGTACAGATTATTAATACTGGTAGTATATGAGCTGATAGTATATAGAACAGAGAAAAAATGTAAGGGAGTAATATCCACTGAAAAAATTAGTGCAACATTGGTGTGCAATTAAGTGCAATTGAATGCAAATCAATTTACATACAATACTTTCAGTGTTAATAAATAATTTAACTCTTTTAATTACATTTTCTTTGTTGTCAATAATCATATCTTTAAAAGAGGATTAAATTATTTATTAACATTGAAAATATGTAAAACCAAATTTATTACACTAAATTGCAACAGTGTTGTACTTTTTTCCAATAAAAAAACATTATTTAGACATAAGCAGTAATCGGTCAATCACAATAAAGACTGGGTATAGTCAATAATAATACAATTCTTTTGAAGTATTCTTTGATTAGTCAATTCATAAAATTTTTTCTTCTGATAAATCAAATTTATGAAGTTTGACACTCTCTTAAGGCAATTAAGTAAGCAGTAGCAACTTCAAAATGTTAATTTGCTTAGTGCTTACATTTTTATGTATTATAGCCTTGTTATATCAGAACACAGCCTAATGTTAATGCATGAGTTGAAAGTACGCCTTGATATCAAATTACAAACCAATAATTAAATACTCGAATTATTTGGAACATATTTTTCCTTTTAAAATTGAGAAACATCTTACAATCTCAAATTAATATTAATATTTAATTTAATTGTTCATTAAAATTTTTTAAAAGCCTTTTTATTCCATTCTCATAATATATTATGCGCGCATAAAATCTATTAATTTACTTTCTGTATTGTTTTTTTTGAATAATTTTATAATATTTGCCATTTTGTATATAATTGAATTAAGTTCTTTCTGCTTAAATATAATAAACATCTCGATAATAATCGTTTTTTCTTTAGAAATATATTAATGTGAAAAATATATTCAAGATAATAATTAAATAAATTGATTTATTATAATTTACCTATTACACGCGAATGATATTATTGGTAATTCATGTATGTATATAGATTGATGAAATTTTTATGCAGTTCCCGGGAATCAAAGATTACATTTTTAATGGTTACTGACTGGCCAGCTGTCCATGAAAATTTAAATATGTAATTCGTAACGAACGCATTATGTGATACATTTTTAATATCGGACTCGTTGGAGACTATTAAAATTTAAATTTTAATACGCCATTCGTAATGAACAAATTAGGTATTATCTTGCCAATGTAAAACTCGCCGCTAATGGAATTGTTCAATCGACCTTAGCGTGCGCAATCGTCCGATGTAAAATATTTTTACATTTATTTCGTAAACCTTTCATTAGCAACCCCTTCACATTGTTTATGCCGAAATCATAAAAGCCACGAAAATTCCAATAAAAATAGCAACCTGTTCGGTTATCATGATCGTTCAATCGTAAAGTTTATGACAATTAAAAACGTTAATTTAATATACTCAAGAACATTTATTATGACTTACATATAATTTATTCAATCAAAAAAATACATAATAAAGTTGATAAGAAGATCATATCTTCATTACATCATAAAATTCCACTAATAAAATATTAAATAATTCACAACAATACGAATTTATATAAATTTATATCACATAAATAAAAAAATTACAATTTTGTGTAAAAAGAAATAAAATATATGTTTATATAGAGATATTATACAAAAATTAATTAACCCTAGAATGTTATCGATACGTATAAGTAAGCGAGGTCAATGAGCGCTAAGTTATGCCTTTAGTGATCATTACGAAGATTCCAACCTGATATGCTAAAAGATAGAACAAGCAAAGACAAGCTTTTAAAAATTCTTTCCGTTATATATCAGTTTGTTATAATACTGACTCTCGAATGGTCAGTTTTATAACAGAAAGCGTGATAAGTGATTTTTAATTAAGCAGATTTGTGTTATTTTATATTTTATTTAAGTTATGAGAAGAAATGCATAATACACAATTGTACTATATGCGCTATATTATTTTAAAATTGAATTTGATAGTATACTTATTTTTTCGTTCATTTTAAATTAATAATTAGGTTATTTGTGTTCATAAAGGTCTAGATTATCAATATTTTGTAGATTATAAATATTGAAAGTGTGAAATATATTAAAAATACGAAAATATATTAATTAAAAGTAGTCTATTGAACATAAGTAGTCAACATAACATAAGTCTATAATATAACATAAGTCATAACATAAGTCATAACATACGTTATAACGTAAGTTATAACATATTTAAGTCTACATAAGTAAAGAAAAGAAGAGTCAACATAACAACATAAGTCTATTAAACAAAAATAGTCTATTGAACATAAAATTTATTGATAGAAATACTGTATCACTCAATAGTGATAGCATTATAGGGTTAATAAGCATAATTGATTATGCTTGAAGATTACAAAATCAATAATTGAATATGAAAAGCTATAAGCCGATGCAAGGTAAAAATGCACTTTTAATAATACAACAATTTAATTTAATCCGTATTTCGTATTTTATATAATTTTCGATCGATATAATACAATGCAATGTTCTAAATTTAGAAATCTTTTATCTTTCAAAAGATTTATTTAAGGAATAATTAATATAAAATTATAAAAATAATTAATATAAAAATCTAATTAAATAACATTTACGTCAGAGAACATCAAATAATTAGACTCTTATTTCTTTGTACTAAATTTAAAATTTCCAAAATTAATATTTTGAACTCGAATGCATACTTAAGGTGTTGTTGTGATTATGAATAACACCATATATTGTATACAGAAATACATATACTCGCTTTTCGATGGTATAAATATTAAAATCAATTATTAATTTTAAAATAACGAAAATTTTATTTTTAATAAAATACCTTATATAGGTAAATACCTTAGAAATGTCCGGCGTTGAACTTTTTGAATCAGATACTATATCTAATTAGTATCAGATACTGTAGTATGAAAGTGTAATATCTGCTGAATAGTTCCCCGAAATTGAAGTATTTGGTTACTTTTTTTATTTTGATTATTCGACCACTTTGTCCGTGTAATATTGATAATCAGATATTTCTCGAGGAACTATTTCCATTACACCATCCTGACTTCTGGTTTGTAAGCTGTTAACAAAATATAAAATGTTTTATTTATCTGATAACTTCTGAAAGAAATGATAGAGATAAGGGTTCGGGTTTTTCATTATCTAGTTAACTTGTGATTAAGTTTAACCTGATGTTTCATCCAATGGACATCCATGAACATTATAGATGGCTTCATCTATAATGTTCATGGATGTCCATTGGATGAAACATCAGGTTAAACTTGAAGGAAAATCATGTGTTCAAAAATATTAATTTATTTTCACATAATAATCGTAATATTAATATACTTATTGATAGTATATTTCTTAAAACCAAATTTTTTCTTTTTTTTTCTTTCTTTTTATTTTATTATTCAATAATGACTATCCTTTTATATATGCTAATATATTTTTAGAGTATTTACCTTATGATAGAAATAAATCTTCTCTTTTTCTCTCGCTTTTTCTTAATGTTTAATTGTTCCTTGGAGATGTTAGTATATATCACTTTTTCGCGCATACCGAAACGCTTGCACCTTCTGTCCTTCTGCGTCGCGGTCGACGCGTCAGTCCGACATCCAGTGCCGGGAAATGAGCCTACAAAGGTTCTCCTTCGTACTTTTATCCTTATTATTAATGACAAAGACAAGACTTTGTCTTATTCTGATGTTTTTGCTTACCATTCCTCTTCCGGTTTTTATACACTTTTTTTACTTTTCTTTTTCTTTTTGTTCAGTTTTATTTGTTCAGTTTTTATTTGTTCAGTTTTCAGGTTACACACTTTTCTTTCCTGTAATAGACACAATTAATACAAATTAAGTTTAGATTTAGATTCGATTTCAACAAGTGACAAGAGAAATACGTTAATGATTCTTGCATAATTGAATTGTAGATTTGTAAATTTGTATTTGAATGTTAATTTGGATGATTATTGAGTACCATTGATATATTGAGATAAGAATTATTGCTCTTGATATTATTAAATATTGGTAACAAAATAAGTAAAGAATTGACATATAAAACAATCTTATTTATTTTTACATGAATGAAGAAAGAAAAAAAATATAAAAATAATGCTATGAAATTAACAATAAAGTTAAGAATAAAAGATAAAAATAGGATTTTCTTTCATTTTTGTATTTATATTATTAATAAAATGTTATTTAAAGATCTACAATTGAAAAAGGATGACAATCGAAGGAAAAATTTGTGCACCCTAATGTAATATTTCATATCAAATTTTCACAATTATAATATATAATATTTCAGTCTTCACCGAAATTGCAATTAAATCACTTTATAGCACCGCTATGAAACGATTAGAAAAGAATAATTAAAGAATAGCACATGCACAGTATCTACTTCTTTGATTATACTTACAAGTAGATATATATCAATCAATCTATTTGCAAAAATGCTTTATAACGGAATCTTCTGAACATCATTCGGTTTACGACTGTTTTATTCGCGTGTTGGTGTTCGTCTGACTGAAATGTCCCGTGAAACTTTTGATTTTTCAAAACTTTTACAGGTATCACGACACTTAATGTTCGGTTGGAACATTACACATACAATATTATGCGTTCTTGGTGATATATAGCTGGTAACGGTACAATTATATAGAAGGTCTATAGGTTTATAATTAACTACATAAACTGTTTAAAAAATTTCATTGGAATTGTTTTTCTTTGAAGACTAATGGAATACTCTTGTTAAATTGTAAAATTTTATTGTATATTTGTCATATATTCATTATAATTTGCTGAATATTAAGAAAATTAACATTATTTTAACTCGACTTATGTATTTTTCTTGTATAATTTGATTTTTACGCAATTATTTATAAAAAGAAATTATTTATAATAAGATGTTTTGAAAATTTCTAAAATTTTTTTGTAAATCTTCCAATCTTTTCATGTTAAATATTAAAGTTTAGATTTTACGGGTAATATTATTTTTTAAACATGAATGACATTTCAGTAAAAAAAAATATTATCGACATTATACATAGCACGCATTAAGTAAAATATTATTTCTAATGAAGTTGTTCTAAGTTGTGCGTGCCTTAGACATTGGCATAATTAGTGGATTTTATGATGAGATGCTCTTTACTTGCATCATATACGGAAGAGTCATCGTAGAATTATTTTTCATTTACTTACAACTCTAATTGTAAATCATTTGACTTTTACGATCGGTTATAAACATTTCTTTCCGTACATCAATTATTATAAATACAAGCGCAATGTCCATTGCGTTTGCTGTCTCGATTCACTTAAAGTTTTCTCAATGTTGATTGCGTGTTAATAGAAAACGTAGAAAACGTATTCAAATCAACGTCTTCTATTTTGCATGCTTTAAACGTACAGATTTACATGCATACGTTATATCTTATAGTATCTAATTTTTTAATAATATCTATTGACCGGATAAAATTTCTCGATCAACATGCCAATACCATAAAATATCTTTGGCAATCATTAAATAAATATTTATTAAATACGAAATATTTTGCAAGCAATAAAGCATATGCGTTCAAGCTACAAAAATTGTAATTTACGAAAGTTTAAGCAGATTAAAATAAGCACATGATAAGAACAACACAATATGTATAAAAACAGTAAATTAATAATAATAAATTAATAATAAAATTTGATATTTTTTTACTTAATCTGTGTATATAACTTGCATGTGTATATATAAATTTTATGTATTGAATAAATAAATATAATAACAATAGATAATAATTTAATTTCAAAATATTATTATGGGTTAGAGAAGGCGGGGACTATTCCATCAGTTTTAACTTTAAAGTAATACGAAAATTCACGATAGCAAATAATATCTTTTTGCAGTCTTATAACGTTATATTACATTGTACAATCATGATTGCTTCTTGAAATATATACGATTTTTAAATAATCAACATGTGCTGTAGAAACATTAACATTATCGCAAGAAATAGACGAAAAAATTCCCACTCTACTATTCTCATTTATTATTGTTAAGATTTGAATTGACAATAGTAAAGAATCTTGCAACTTAAAGATCAAAGATTCTTACCTAAAAAGAAGAGAAAGATATCAAAAGAAACAAAAAAAGGTAAAACTAACAGTGACAACAACGATGACGATAAGGAAGAATTTAAAAGGAAAAGAAAGAAAACAAAAAAGAGAGAAAGAAGAAGAATAATAGTATCTTGGAAATCAATGATTAAGATCAGTATAAAGCAGAGGTTTTTCTAAATAGAAATTTTTTCTAAATAGAAATCACTACTTTTAAAGTCTTCTTTTCGTATAAAGAAATGGCATAAAAAAATTTGTATAAAATAATTGATCGTGTTATTCAATGTTTGTGACAAATTTATAGGAAAAGATTTCTAACGCCACAGAGAAGCATACAATTTTAATATAATCGCTATATTATATATACACTTTACGTAGCACTTCATTCACAAGCCGGAGAAATGTAGAATTTATGTACCAACAAGACGTATATAATAGTTTTGCGATCTCTTCTTCCCGAGTGTTTTACATTTCACCATTTAATTTCCATTAAAACAAACTCTGTGACATCGCTCTTATCATCCGGTGGTTATCAGAGAAATGTAAAGCTTGATCATGTTTGCCCGCACAATGTATGATCGCCTTTGCCGCTTTAATTACGAAAATAGCTCGATCTCGCCCGATAGCGGCTGCGTTGTTTCGCATTTCCGCGTATATAGTAACGTTTTATAAACAAACTGCCCGAGATATCGCGGAGTAACATATGGGTGTAGTCTGAAAAAAGCTGCGGCTACGTAATGCAATTACAACGTACGTGTCGAGAATTAAAAGCACATAAGTCGCAGCGATTACGCATTATGAAACTGTTATACTTTTAAAAGCCAATATAGTCACCGATTGGAAATCTATTTAAATTAATATTCGTAGTAGCTGATAATAATCAAAAATCATACGTAGATATCAACCGATATTGCAAATCAGATTTCAATATTGATCATGAATTCAATATTGATCATGAATTCTGTGGTCGAGAGGCAATCAATAAATCGACTGCAGCCACGTATTTACGGTCATTGCATAAAGTATGAATGCGTAACTGAAGTCAATGTAACTTATAATTAAAAAATTTGCATAACAAATAATTATAACAAAACTGCATTAACTTCTTTCAAAAAACAAATTTATTAATACGTATATTTCTTTCAAAAAATAAATTTATTAATACGTATCGGAATTTTATAAAAATATATAATATAACTGTATATTCAGTATTACTTAGATTTATACAAAGTGAAAGAATTTTAACACAGATAAATATATTTGCTGTAAAGTCATTTAGGTATTGCATCTTGCGGCTGAAACAATAATATATCGAGCAATCACATTATGAAATTGACGTAATGATCACGATTTCATAAGAATGTAGTTAGAAAGCGCAAGTCTGCAGAATGCGCTTATTTATTTTTCCTTCTATGATTTGAAGAACTTCTATGAACTTGAATGTACATTTCACCCGACCGGCGGACTTACATCTTTCCAGAGTGGAATAAATCAAAGCCATACGCTAATCACAAATACAACTGCTGACACCGCGAACATTTATCTTCGTATCATTGACCATGTGTTTGATTTGACACAGTCATGTGTGAGAATTGAAAAGAAAACAATATGCCAATGAAATATCCAGGAATTTGGCTTCTTGGAATTAATGTAATTGGTTTAAATACATATATCATTCTAATTAAAAATCGAGGTTGTGTAATTTTAAAGACATAACGTTTATCATTATACAGAATGAAATAACTTTATTTTTGTCTTAGTTATAACTGCAATTATTATAATTAGCTCTTTTAATGGTATCTTTGAAAATTAAAAATGCATATCTCAAAATATTGAATTTAAATTTTTTAATTGAATCAAAAATTCATGTTTTTATTTATTTAAACTTGGGAAAATTAAAATTTATTCTTTCAAAATTATACATGCAAACTGGAATATTTCAATTAAAATTACCCATAATTACAAAACTGTATTATTGTTCGTGAAAAAAATATTTTCTTGCAAAAATATCTTATTTTAAATATTTGAGTATCTTAAATTGCTATTTGATTTGTGTGTTTCTCGCTCAGGTATTTAGCTTGTGAATGTGTAAAATCGTAACTACGAGAACGTAAAACAGAGCGTGACACATGTGGCAACGTGTGTGCTGCAGGCATTCCATTGTATCGTATGAATGAACCACGTCGCCCGGGAATACATTTCGACTGATCGATCGACATCCAAACTATACTCGGCATCGAAGCGCAAATATAATTCCGGCATTTGTCAGTTAATGAAAAATGCGAATCACGCACTCTAAATTATGCATAATTTTGAAATATTATTTGCTTTAAATCGGAATTTTATTTAAAAAATATATACATATAAATATCTTTTATGTCTGTAAGTGTGGATGTAATGTATATATAAATAGACGAATAAATAGATGGACAATTTATCTAAAAATAAAGATTCTGCAAGTTGACATTTTCTTTAAGAAACTAATATAATAAATGTATAAAGAAAAGAAAAGTAGACAGTAATAATAAGAAATTACACAATAAATTACAAAGTAAATATTAAATTAAATGAAATGCAATAAGATAAAAATGAAATAATTAAGAGAAGAAAGTTCAAAATAAAGGAAAAGAAAAAATGACAGAAACAAAAAAAGATCTAAATATTATACAAGATTGTAACCCAAAGTTTCCAAATTATATTAAGAATACATTTGAACCAAACTTGG